GATCAAGTTAACTGGGTGTCAGCAGTGCCCCAAATTAGATTTTCACTTGCATGCATTCAATACAGATGATCGACTGCTTGGTGCACTGTTACTGTGCCAGCTGCTTACAGATGAAGACAAACTCATAATGGATTAAGAAATGGACGTAAAATAACTTTTTCAGACTGAATTCCTAGTCCAGCCATAACTTAACCTTTAGGACCTTAGGGTTGGACTATGACCAGTCTAGAAACTTAAGGACCTTAAGCTTCACAAAAAGTCTGCTTGAAATTATGAAGTATGAAGCTCCCTTATCAGCTGTCACTTACTGGACACACCATTCACTGATAAAGACAGACACTTTTTTAAATCAGTAAAAATTAAACGTGATATGGATTCATTTTGAAGAGACTGTGGCTGTCAAGAGACTACGGTTTTTTTCTTTGACTGAATACTTAGAAGACTATGGAATTGATCAGGGGATTTAGCATATGAATATCAACTCTAAAAGTCACAAACCTTGTTCTTGCATTCTTCATTTCTGCAGATGAGGGCACCTTGATTGGCACGGCATTTACATTCTTCATCACTCGCCCTCGTGAGTCGACCAGATTTGTTTGTAAGACTGTATTTAACCCATAATTGTTTTTTCCAAGATTCTAAAACAATTGCTTTTATTGTGAGATATTTTACTCTGTCCATTCTCTTCCGCATGCACGCCGCTCGATTTCAGAATATTCGATTTCAGAAAATTTTCTGTGACGGACGGAATTACTGGCGATGAAAGAACGAGAATGGATACATGTGAGAGGCGTGCAGAGGAACAAGGCGGGAGGCTTCATTTTATAGCAAGAACAACGACGCTGAAATCCGAAGGAGAAGTGCAGAAAATTAGCCAGATGACACAGGTTCGCGCCTAATTCCAATTTTTATCCGAAGTATCTCAGTCCAAGCGCATTTATAAAGCTCAACGCATACAATTTTAAATGTCCGAGTGCGGAAGATGACTTCATTTGAAAATTCCGTACTTTCGCTAAAAACAAGCACCATGAATTGACAGCATCCTAGAATACAATCAATAGCTGCTTGTTTAGAGCTACAGTCACTGAACGGTTTAAAGGACCATCGTGGTGCTCTGGGACAACATTCTTCATTGCTTGGCGTATCTATTCACAAGAGTAGTTTTCAACAACCTATAATCTCACCTGCTTTTGCACTCTTGCCAATATTTATTCCATCTGAGAACTTATGAAAAAAGTGTCAGTAGACACACTGCTAAACCAAATGTCCAAAAGTATTGCCATTCACAATGATGATCGAAGAACGACGCCCAGGCTAGTTCTGGATTTACCGGCTTATTACATTTTAATTCGCAGGTTGTGGCAATTCTTTGCATCATTAAGTGAAACAAGACAGCTTACCGGTGGTGGGGCAACGATAACGCGAATATTTCCTTTTGAGGAGCCTAGAGGAACCACTTTACTGGCTGGAGGCTTCTTGTGACCTTTTGGAAATATTATTGGAGGCTTTGAAGAGTCATTCGCCTGAAAATCAGAAGAACCCAGGTTGAAACGCATTAAGCTTGCCAGTGCGATCATGCGTTTTTACACCAAACTTGAAGTAGTTAGTTCGTTAACTGCATGAATGGTTATTGCTTTACATCTACCTTTCGAGTTCACTAGCATAAGTCATCATAAATTTTGCATAAAGAAAATGAACAGTTTCCGTTTAATGGTCGTTCTTTCAAAATGAACTAGCTGTTCAGTGAGTAATTTTGCTGTCAAAAATTTTGGTGCCCGTACACGAGAACCATGCAAACCTGGAGGACTGAATTTGAAATCTTTAAGTTGCACATGGACAGGCGGCATTACCTTAAAATTTCAGCCTTCCAGCTTTTCTAGTTACAGAGTTAGCATTTTCCCCGCCAAATTCTTCGCGTGCCCGTGCGTGATTTATGTCCTCTCTGGTTCCTGAGATCGCTTTCCCGTCAAAAAATTTGCGCAATTTTTTTAAAGCGTCCGTAAGTGGAATCCAGGCGCATGCGAATAATGATATTAAAATGGGAAGTTCACACATGGTGTGGGCACATGCTCCCGAAGTTTCAGTCTTCTAGCTTTTCTAGTTCTTGAGTTGAAAGTGGGTGACAGAAAGTGCGAACACACAGACACACACATACACATAGCCTCTTGTCAATGTGCATTTTCGCATTTACATACATGCAGTCCAGGCTGGAACGCACCAGGCTCTGCTGTGCGATCATGCGCTTTCGCGCTAACCTCGCAGATCGCTATTAGCAAGAATGATCTCTACGCTGTAGCTTAACACTTGGGTTATATTGGCCGTGCATTGATTCTTTCCGACATGCAGGAGGAAGGGCGATGGGATGAAGGTGGTGCATTATAGAGCCGCACGGACAACCAGGAGCATGATTACCGGTTTTTTGCATGAAGTCCGGTCGTTTTTTCGGTAAATACTAGCTTTGTGAAAAAATAACAAATGCAAATTTTTTGAAAAAATGCAAATTTCCAGTTCACTAAAAAGT